TATAAGATTCATAAGATACTCTAGATTTTTCATGTCTGTCTCTATATATATGTATATTCATATATATTAATCACAATTTCAAAAATCTAAATTCTTAAAGAAATCTAAGATCTCTTCTTAATTTTAAATTCTCAATCTTCCCTGGGCAAATGGTATTCCTTCACGTAACTTTCTCGATTCATTACAAAAAATAGAAGGTAAATTTAAATGTCCGATAATCTATCAAAGATTTGCGATCATTCGCTTGAAAATTTTCCCCAGGTTGGCGACGGTTTCTCGTTAATCGTCAAGCAAGCGTCTTTTGACATTCGCTTCCCCCGTGGTATCGCGATTGATTTATACATTTCGACGGGTTAGATAGGTAGGTAAGTAAAACCAAGTGATTTCCTACCATGTGTATACAAGTCGTTCCGGCGTTACTAATGTATCCGCTGAGTACACTGTTAATATTTAAGTGCGCGTCGAGCTCTCCGCGCAACCGGCATCCACCCTATAAACCACCGTCTCCCCCGTCGACCTCCCCACCCCCGCCTCCTGACTTGCCGAAACCCTTGAAGTTTCTCCACTGTTGACAGACGCTGTCTCGTCACGGCAGGTGGCTCAAGACGCGACTACATCCGACGGTCCCGGATATTTCGATACGCTCGCGATTAATTAATGACACACCACCAGGTACCCCTATATATCGCCTCAAGTCGAACATCCAGACAACGTTTGCCAGCGCGGTTGTTAGTCGTGAATTAGTTCCATCGGTCGCATTGCGGTGCTCCAACTGCAGTAAAAAGAGGGGGCAAAGGTTAAAGAGTTCGTAAATTAATAAAAAGTTTAAAAATTTAAGCGCTCGAAAAAACAGCCTAATTTAAACAATTTTTGGAAAATATATACCTATATCCTATATAGCAGTTTTCTCGATCGTAATAAATTGAAAAAAAATTTTTGAATATTACTTGATCTAATTCTTCTAATTTCTTTTAAAATTATTATGAAAACAGAAAAATAACACTAGTTTATAATCAAAAATTATTTTCAACCAGACAGAGTGTTTTTTATAGTTAATAAAACATGAAAAGTAGGCCAAATATACGAGCCGAAATAATTTAGATGTAAGAATAATTAAAAATTATTTATTCATAATATAAATGTAGACGTGCTCTGTCTGGAAAAAACTTTAGACAGTGAAGATATAATAGTTTCATTAGATGTTGTCTTTTATTCACAAATGTCCTTCTGGATCTTGCAATGGAATGCATTAATAATAGATGGCATTACATCGAACCACAGACTAAAATTCCAAAAAACGAATTTTTAAACGCGATTAAATTTATATTAACATCCACTTTTTTTAAATTTAACAACACTACATATAAACAAATATACGGAGCCCCTATGGGATCTCCCCTATCTCCAATAATTGCTGATTTAGTTTTGCAAGATCTTGAAACATCTATTATTGACACATCTAATTGGAATTTGACTTTTTACTATCGTTATGTAGATGATATCTTATTGGCAACAAATGCGGACAATATACCACATATCATAGACAAATTCAACGAATACCACGAAAGACTGAAATTCACAGTTGAAAGAGAAGAGAATCGTAGCATTAGTTTCCTTGACATTTCTATTAATGTGATTGAGGATGCGATATATGTAGATTGGTTCCATAAAAAAACTTTTTCAGGTAGATTTTTATCTTTTTATTCCAACCATCCGATGTGCCACAAATTAGGCACTATTTATAATTTAGTGGACAGAGCACTACTATTGTCGCATCCTCGATTCCATGGTAAAAATTTGCATACAGTTATAAATGTTTTGTTATCAAATAGCTACCCTCTTGCTCTTCGTTTAATGAAATAAATTGCAGGATTAAGAATCTTATCGGCAGCAAATTAAATATAACTGATAAAGAAAATAAAAAGGGTCCTCATGATAACAATGATAAAAATAACAAATTTATTGCAATTCCATATGTAGAATCCATCTCTTAAAAAATATCAGCTAATATTAAAAAATCGGATGTAAATGTAGAATATCGCGTCTTGAAAAATCGAAACATTTGGATTAAAACACATAAAGACAAGAATGATGACTCCAGCAATTCAAATGTTGTATATAAAATCGCAGAGACTGTGACGCAACTTAATATTGGACAAACAAAAAGACAATTACGTACCAGACTTAACGAACATAAAAACAATTTTAAATTAGACTCTGCAAGACATTCGGTGATTTCTGAACATATTTTAAATAATAAGCACACTTTTGACTGGGAAGAGACTGAAATATTAGATCATGAAATCAACTATAATAAAAGACTTATTTCTGAAATGTTATACATAAAAGAACATAAAAATAGTATAAATTTAAAGAAAGACATCGAATCCCTTGAAAGCTGTTATTTTGACATTTTAGAAGAATTATCTGACACACTTTTTTAATTATAAAAAAAAAAAAAAAAAAAAATTAACTTTTAACTATTGACAACACTATTGACTATATAAACAGGCTACGATATAATAATGACACATATTATTCCTTGATATTGCTGAGTCGCAACAACCAACACATAACATCAATATGTAAGTTATTGCTAATTTATATTTTTCGGAGTGTTCTTCATTGGAATCCTTTTAATATATCTATTTTGTGGGAAAAAAGGGCTTGAATAAATGGGACTCATCTCGTGAAGATGCCGGAACAGACGGTTCGCGCTATCCAACGACCAATTTGGACTCCGTGCATTTAATTGAGAGATGGTCTTAAACATAAGACATCTAAGAATAATTGCTTCAACCATTGTAATTAAATCGAATGATAATCGAAGTTTCGTCTTTACATAACTTGCGAAATTATGTTTAAATTTCTTTAGTATATTTTATAATTTTATACTTGCGGTTGATTGTATTGGTAAAACCTAGTAAGGTCGAAACGTCTATATTTATATTATGAATAAATAATTTTTAATTATTCTTACATCTAAATTATTTCGGCTTGTATATTTGGCCTACTTTTCATGTTTTATTAATTTTAAATTTTACACGAGCGTTGATTTGTATTTTTATTGTTTTTTACAGATTTTTGTATGCTGAAAACGATGCCGCAAAAGTCAATTTTCACCAGCGCGTCAGGTTTCCGGAATAACTGAGGTTAACGAGGTTAGTGAAAAAGGTTAACGTGATCTGGAAATTTTTGTCTGGTTTAAAATAATAAAAAAATTTTTTTTCGTTAACTATAGTGTAATTGATAAATTAAAATATAGTATGAACGATATCTTTTTACGTGTCATAAATCAATAGAGTTTTCGTAGAAGGGTTTTTATCTTCTATAAAGTGCCTCTCGAGCCATCACGGTTAACACTCAGGACTCGAGCTTCCGAGAGCAACATTTCGTAATTGTCCAATTATTATAGTAGTCGATTGACTTTTGAAAGATAAATGTTGTGAAATATAATACATTTCTGTAAATAAGATTTGACATTTATTTTGATATATTAAAAAATGTAGCACAGAAAAACATACATCACATTTTTTAACTCTAAACATTAAATAAGAACGTAGATATTTGAGAATCGCCAGACAGAATTTTACCTTTTCTAAACATTAAGTATTAATGTATAAAATAGAAAGAAATATTTTTATTTTAAAAATCAGACTAAAGGACAGAATCTCATACTTTATTCAATTTCACCTTTAATTAAATCCTTGTTTGATAGTTTTTAATATAAACTGAAAATATAGGGCTAAACTTGGCGCAAAAAAAAAAAAAATATTTCTTCCATTTTTTAAATTTATACTATATACATAAATATAATTCTTGTCAACTTTTATTGTAATTTATTAGTAAACATTATATTAAAAAATATTATTTTTATACATGACTTTCTGTCTAACATAATTTGAATTTTTATATTTACTGCTCTTAACAGCCTTTTATCAAATTTATTAATGTATAAACATTTAAGTTTATTTTCTTAGTAGCACATTTCTGGAATAATATAAATATTGTTTAATTAACTTACATTAATCGTAAAACATACATATAATATTCTGTATGTAAAAAGTTATTTTTGCGAGATTATATCTAATCGTCATATTGACTACTGCTATCATCATCATCATTATCAAAACAAAATATGGTGTTATACAAATCCTCTTGGGTTAATATTCCGTTTTGAGTCAACCAATGTTGATTCTTCTCCAAGTCTGCCACTTTCTGTATAATAAAAATATGCTTGATTTGTGGAAAGATAAAAATATAAATATAAAAATAAATATAATTATAAATATAAATATAAATATATAATAAATGCATATATATGTATATTTATGTATATAGTATAAATTTAAAAAATGGAAGAAATTTTTTTGTTTTTTTGCGCCAACAAGTTTAGCCCTATATTTTCAGTTTATATTAAAAACTATCAAACAAGGATTTAATTAAAGGTGAAATTGAATAAAGTATGAGATTCTGTCCTTTAGTCTGATTTTTAAAATAAAAATATTTCTTTCTGTTTAATCACGTTTTAATCATAGGATTCTAAAATAGTCTGAGAAAATGTGCACACTATTATAATATTATAAGTGACTAACAAATAATACTATAGTAGTATGCATATTTTCTCAGATTTAATTCGCTCTATATCTTTAAAACGGTTAATTTCACAAAGAAAGTATAAGGACCTTTTTTGTAAGGAATTTTCTGAGCTACAATTTTAATAATAACTATTTTTCTCGAAAAATTAATAGTTTTTGAGATAATAGCGAAAAACTAAAAATTACCCTCTTTTATCCTCCATAAAAAACGCCCTGGATAAAATTAGGGATCTTACTTTTCAGGATTTCATTAGAACATCAAAATAAAGATCTCTTCACAAAAATTCAGTTTAGTCCTAATTTTTATGAAGTCAAAGTCAAATTTTACTGGACTAAAAGAGGCTTCGTCAATTTTATTAAGATTGTAAAATTAATTGTCCAGTTATTCAAAAATTTATAGGTGAAAACAGAACGCATTTATTAATTAAAAATGATATATGCGATAATATAAGAGCAACCTTTACATTACGGGCATTATGGAAACGCAGTTGCCTTTCTGAACGATTTCGTGATTAGTACGCGTTACATCTGCGGCATTGTGTAATATTTAATACGTATATGGTGCCGTGTGTCTTCAACAATAGGACTCAGCAAACAGCTTTTCACGCTAGTTTCCTCTCACTCGAGCGCATTAAGCGCACGCGCGTAAATTTCGTTGTACACCCGATTGTTCGTGTGTTAACACGACGGCATATGCAACGCGCGAGGACAGGATCAGAATGTATGCATGTAAATGCAGCGTTGACAGTTAGTCGCAGCCCCCTTCTCCCCAACCCCCTCTTCTCGACGTGACGTCGCCCAGTCGGAAGTCGCGTATACGGTAATATTCAGCGAAATTGAAAAAGTGAACTCTATATGCATGCAACTTTACAGAAAGAGAGTGCGTAACTTTTTTTCTATTTCCCGATTGTACAGAAACGTGTAATGGTGTAAATTTGAAAACGCGGTTAAAAAATTTAACGCGTATGTATATACATATACAATAGAGTGTCCCATTTTTACTTTTGCATTGAGATGCCTCAAAAAAGAACTGAAACTTCCATTGAAAAATGTTTTATATACAAAAATTGTAGGATTTTGAGGGGGAATAGTCGATAAATGAATGGTTTACGTGCAAATTTTTTTCGTTATGCACAGATTAATGTGACAGATAGATCAATTGGTGTATGAAAAAATATATTCTTGATTAAAACAAAATTGCAATTTACAATTGCGTATACTATTTTGAAAAAATAATTATATATTTTTTACATCAATTGATCTATTTCTACGTAGAAAATTATTGAGATAAAATGATGGAAAAATGAGCATGTTATGAGATATATTTCATATTTTAAGTTGAAATGTGTCAGAATGAACCATAAAATATTTCGTAAATCATTCATTTTTTTCGACTATTCTATTAGTAATTTTTTAGGTCAAATATTATAAGGAATCGATTAAAATAAGAAAATTTATGGTTTTACTGTCTCCACCTGAAAAATGTCTTTACTTGAAAATGCTTCTACTCTGTTAATGACAAGACGTCTCCTTTGAAATTCTACACTTTTTGTATGAAATATTTCTAGAAACCTTGGTGTTCAAAAAACCTCAATGAAAAAATTAAAGTGAGACACCTTATATATGCATGCTCTGAAATAATTGCAATATTTATTACATATATAATTATAGAAATTATAGAAATGTATATATAATTATAGAAGTATAATTACCTTTGCAACCGTACAAGGATTATTTTCTGATTCTGAGAAATCCTCGCAATTAACATTTTCAATCGATGCTTCTGAGTCTCCACAAGAACTGCCGTTTTTGTCACAATCGGTTATTGCAATATGTGTCTTATATATTCTTTGATCATCTGGCTCGAAAATATTTTGATTGGAACATCCAGAGATCTTAAAGTAAATGATTTAATTAATAATAAAGTGTACGCAACACGTCATGTGCAAACTTATCGATTCAAGTTTGAAATATTTATTATGTATTTTGTAATTCTGTATTACGCTTATGTAAAATTATAACAATCAAATTATTAATAATTTTTATACTTTGTTATGAATCAGATTTGTTTCGATGTATTTTGTCCCATTCTCATACTTCAAAGTTGTATTTGTGACAACCCAATTGCAATAGCTTATTGTAGTCTGGAAAGAAGAAAAACTAGTCAATTATATATATTATAACGTATAATATATAAAAAGAATATATGCAGTATATATATATTTTTGTGTATTATAAATTAATTAGTTTAGAAAAAAAAATATTTTTATTATTTTAAACCAAAACAAGGAGTTTCTTATAGACTTTATGGGTCTCAAAAATGACTTTGTCTGGTTTCTAATAATTTGGCCTGTAAACTAGTGTTATTTTTATTATTTATTTTTAATTTATGCAAATCTCGTTAATTTCATTATCTTTACTGAATCAAAACAACGTATTCGTTGCAATTTCAATGGCAGTGTGTGCGTATGCAGTTTTCGCAAGAACGAGGGTGAAGAACCTTAATATCGCGGAATAAAGAGAGAAAGAGTAATAGAGAGACGGAACCCGAAGAGCATCCATTTATATATATCGGTTGTAATGTGCTCTCGCCGATCGAGTCTATGAGACTGCGAACTTTTATCTCTCCAACAAGAAAAGGCTGACGTCGAAAAGGACGACATATGAGAGATCGAAGACACTTTATTTATAGCAATAGCGCGCGACCGCGTCGTAAAATATTCTTATCTTTCTTCATTTATACTTTTTCTCTATAATTTTGCTGATATATTTTTTCATTATTAGATATAGTGTTAATTTGGAAAAAGTTTGATGAGATATACAATATTTATACATATATTTATATAATGATAAAAATAAAATGTAAATAAAAATTAATTATATATATATATATATAAATTAAATTTTTTAATTATTCGCGGAAAAATTTTATCTCCAAATATTTAATGACAATGCAAAGCTAAAAACGTGTGTCACGCGACATTAAAAATTTCAAGGTTTCAGATATTTACGCTAATTAACTTGGAATTTAGATATTCATTTTGCGCACTGACTTTTTGACCATAAGATATCTAGAAAGGTCGAATAAATTATAATTTATACTGGTGACTTATATACAAGAATATATAGTAATGTAATTTTATTAATATAATAACTTCTCTATTAAATGCTTATAATACAAATTATAAATCAATTTTTATATTATTTGTAAATATATATATATATATATATATTTATTTATTTATTTATTTAAAAAATACTAATATTGTAATATAATTTTTTGTATAGCATTTTTGAGTAATTTTATAAAATTTAAGATTATAATTTGATTCTGTATCGACATTATTTTCACAAAAAATATTTAAATATTTATTATTTGGTAAAATAAATGACGTACCAATTCGCTTGACACGGCTGATGTCATAAGAAAAGTACACAGTATCACAAACTTCATTTTTTGTAATAAATTCTGTTAATAGATATTTTAATTAAATTAAGATTAGTGTTGTCTTAAAATAAAGTCGCGAACAATCGGCAAAGAATATGAATAATTAATGTTTTATATCGCAAGAATGCAAAGAATGAAAGAACGCTCTTAATTAAAACCTTAATTATATATAACACTTAACAATTTATCTTTTTCTTTCTTGCTTTCACTCAAGAAAAAATCAATCAAAAATGTTTACAAAAACGTAGGAACACAATAATTTCTTATGTGAGCGTTTGTAATGCAATAAACTTACTAAAACTGTGACTGTACAAATGCGCAGAAAACTAATCACCTGTTTAAAGTGCGAGATAAGCACAGTTAGCGATTAGTTTAGTTAATATACACATAAACAATATTTAAACATACCCAAAAAATTATTTTTTTAGTTGTTTGACAAATTAGCAAACAAATAAGTGAAAAAACGCCCCATTATCTGACTTCATCTCATCATGTTGTCAACATTTAAAAAAAATTATTCATGAGTAGCTCAATATTAGTCTAAAATTGGCACATTATGTATCACAGGTTGAAATAAAATTGCACAACCGGAGAAATAACTTTGTTTCGCAGAAGAGAAACTTTTATACGAATGTGTGCGACAATATAGTGTTTCAAAAAAATATAAATTATAAATTATTTACATACATATGCACATTTATATATATATATATATGTGTGTGTGTGTGTGTGCTTATTACCTGTTTTTGTCATTTTTCAATTATATACGCGTAGTCTAATGCAAAATATAACTTATGTATTCGTATGCAGTACTAATAAACTGAAATAGGTAATAATATAACATCTCTCTACCTGTCACTCTTAATTTTATGTATATTCATGCTTGAGTGACTTTTTTAATTTATACGCTTCGTTTCATCTACCATAACTGAGACAGTCGCAATCCATCATTTATCGCATCCGAACGTGAAATTAAACTATCGTATTACAATAACAATTCATCAAGAGATGCCAATGCAAAATGCAGAATGCGCTCGCGTACGTACATCGGTATCATTTAGCATGAACGGGGAAAAATGTTTTGAACCAATCCTGCTCGTTTTTAATTCCGTTGCTTATGCGCGCCAATTAAACATTAAAATGTGGCTTAATTTCCAGCGCATCGTGTTCATTACGTTTGTAATTTTATATTTATCTCTGCCATATTTCTCTGATTGTTTTTGCTTTACGCGATCAGGATTAATATGCAAATGGTCTTGCGTTACCGAATCGATGACATTTTCTCTCTCTCTATCTTTCTTAAACACACGTTAATATGTTATATTATTTAGATTTATATTTTTTTGAAAGAGAGAAACATATAACGAGTGTGTGTGTGTGTGTGTGTATTTGATATATTTTTTTTGACATTATATGCTGGTATATTTATATATTTCTCTAATATTTTGTCAATATTATATACATATATATTCATTGTTTTATATATAATATCGCGAATATAATATTGACAAAAATATATATTGTAAAAATATATATAGGCAGTTTTTAAATATAAAAGCAAAAACTGTAGGAAATTATTCTTTTTCGAAAATTAAGGGTTTTTTTCATATAAACATATATTTTTCTCTATATTCCCTCCCTGAGGAGATACATTCATTCAATGGAGGAAGTAAAAATTAAGTTTTCAATTTTTTCTCAAATTTTAGACATATATATATATATATATATATATATATATATATATAAATTATATACATATGCAGGATGTATCTAAATAAGTACAAAAAATGTTAGAAACTGATTCTTTGTTGAAAATTAAGGGTGTTTTTCATATAAACATATACGTTTCTCTATATTCTCTCCTTGACTCCTCAAGGAGATAGATTCCTTCAGAAGAAGAAGTAAAAATTGAGTTTTCAATTGTTTTATTAAATTTTAGACAATTTAAAAAATGAAATTTGGTGGATATTTTCCATTTCCCTAGTAAAAAAGTATTTATTAATATTTTTTTAATCTTCTTGTATCATTATAAGCCATTATAAGGAGATGAAACAAGAGGATGACTAATAATCTCTATTCAATTTTTTATTAAAACTTTTTAATGGACTGGAATGTGATTATTTAAAAAATGTATTAGAAAGCTTGATTCTTTTAGAAACCTTTTTACATTTTTTATTTTTTTTTGTTAACTCAATAATTTTCAAAAAAAAATAAAAACGTAATTTTCAACTCCCCATTTAGAAAAGTGTAACTCTTCATGGAGGAATATAAGTTTTATAATACATGTTTTATATATACTATATATATATATATATATATATATATATATATCACAATATTATATATAATATCACGAATATAATGTTGAGAAAAATAGATATTTAATACATACATTCAATACATTTTTTTCAGTATTATATTTGTGATAATATATGTATGCATATAAAAATGGAAAAAATAAATATACATTTTATTATATGTATATGTATACATAGTTATAATTTATATTTTTTCTACATATTTGAAATTTCTTTATATATTATTATAAGTCTAGAGAAGTAATACAGGTGTTTCAGAATAAATAATCAATATTCTAGGACATGTGCACACATAAATTTAAATTTAAAAAAATGTATATAAACATGTATCCTATTCTGAACGGTTATAGAGATAGAGTATGTTTAATTTATTAATTCTATGAAATAATTCCTTCTGAAACAAATAATATCAATAACAGTACCCATCTTCTTCTATTGCAATAAAATTAATTAAATTTGAAAGCCTACATGTATTGTGTATATACATATATATATATATATATATATTTATACCAATTTGTACAGTTAATTTTCCAAGTCAATGGCCACTCAGAAGGCAAAGCCGCGCCGTTCCCGAAGCGAAGATTGCTTTTTCATTATATTTTGCGGCGAGTTACATCCCTTTTTTTTCTCGCCGATTAACAAGCTCGCGATGTAAATTAATCCAATATCGCATATGAAATGCGGCCGCGGTTAAATTGAATCTCGTGTGTGAGAGCGATGACGATGACGATGATACGTAATCCACGTATCGGAAAAACAGGGAGGAGCTGTCGTATATTACCTAAAAATCTACACCAAATCGTACGCGTTAATTTCGTATACACGATTTGTATCGACCGTCCGTACCCGCATAAATCTATCGATTAGGGGAGAACGAGAAAGTGTGATTTGTCGAAAACGCGTTTTACGAGTATGACTCTCGTAACTGCGCGAAATGTATAAAAAATGTAGCGTTCGATTTATAAAATATTCCTGGCTGTCGAAAGCATGAAAGGTAGAGCACGGGATGGAATTGTTGTTTAAACATTTCGCAAAATATTGGCGCCCGGGTCCAGGCGAAACGACGATCATTAATTACAATCTCTATTTCGTGCGAAATTGCTCGTAGATAATTGCGGATATCTGACACTAAACGTCGAAACTTTTGACAGCGGCGGAACAGCTATAAACTTTTCCGCGATAATGCTATATATCGATGCGAGCGATGTTATACTATGTATATATCGCGGCGTGAAACGCGTTGCGTATAGTTTATTCACCGACATTAACCGAACCACTTGCAATCAAATTAATTTTTTTCGTTTCTCGCTTTGAATTGCCAATTTTGCGCGTATCTCGAAAATTATTGTACATTAATGTACAATAATATATGTCAATTATATGATAATAATTATTATCATATAATTGACATATATTATTTTAATTATTTCTAATTTTTATATAAGCATGTATATTTGATATATTTGTCTCAATATTATATTCATTCATATTATATTATACATATAAAAAAAATAAATATTAATTTTATATATTATATATATATATATATATATATATATATATAAAATTTTTATTATATTGTATACATACATATATAATATAATTCGCTTTTCTTTTATATATTTTATAAATTTCTTTACATATTATTATAATTCTAAAGAAATAATATATCATAATGTCAAAACAATATTCTCCTTCAAAATATCAAAAATAATTAAATTTTTGAGAGCTTACATGTATATCATTCATTATGTATTCGTATTTCTAAATAAGTGCGAAAAATTTTAGAGATAATTTTTTGTTGAAAATTAAAAGAGATTTTTTATATAAACATATACATTTTTCATATAAACATATACATCTATATCCATTCTTTTGAAGAATTGCACTTCTTCAAACGGGAAGTTAAGGTAGTTCTATCGTTTTTCACAGTTCTTACGAATTTTTAGAAATTTTAATATGTTGTAGACGGAGTTAATATCTATCGATTACGAAATTTTGAAGTCGATTCACCGTTTAGTTTAACAGTTATTTACAATTAAAAATAGCATTTTTTTATACACCACGTGAAAGGATGGCATTTTCATCACATTTTAATATATAACAATAAAACGGATCTTACGATTTTAATAAAAAACCAGTGAGGTATACAATATGAGTGTGGAATTATTTAAAAAAAAAATAAATTTTTTCCACCGTTTAGTTTCAAAGATATTATTTTTTAAAGAAATGAATTTTTTTCCAAACGGAATATGGAGAGAAATTGCGATGATGATGTATATTCATACCTGAGCTGTTTCTATGTGAAGAGGTTCAGACTGTACAGACTCAACTAAAATTGTTGCTACGATAACATTGTATAAACGATGAATTTCCTTATCGATTAGAGGCAAATTTTTAGTTGATATTGTAGCGATAGAACTACCTTAAAAATTAAGTTTTTATTTTTTTTCTTAGAAATTATTGAGTGAATGAAAAAATAAAAGAAATAAAGTTTCTAAAGAAATCAAGCTTTCAACGCATATTTTTATATAATCACATTCCGATCTGTTAAAGGTTCTAATAAAAATTGAATAAGGGTTGTTAGTTCATCTCTTTATAGCGATATGAAAAAATTGGAAGAATATTAATAAATATTATCAATTAAAATTAATATTAATCAAAATTAATATTGGTCGCTAGTGGTGAAAATAAGCTTAGAAAACTTGACTTCGACGTAACTAGCAAATTTTATTTAATTATTTCACGACGTTTCGTATGTTAAAAACTATTGTGTAATATTATGTTGTAGAAATTTCACTTGAAAAGGACCACAATCAAATGGTCGAAACGTCGTGAAATAATTAAATAAAATTTGCTAGTTACGTCGAAGTCAAGTTTTCTAAGCTTATTAATAAATATTCTTTTTAGTAGGAAAATAGATAATATTTAACAAATTTCAAAAATTGTGGAAAAT